AATGTGACTTTGCATTGTGGTAATGTGGCAGTGTACATTGGCAAATTACTATACTTTTTTGGTAATGTATATGACCATTATGGTAATGTAAGTCTTATTTTGAGAATAAAAACATGAAAGTCCTATTTTGGTATATTTTTAATGTTTTAGTCCTAGTTTTAAATCAATAATGAACTAATTTAATTTTGTTATGAACAGTGTTGAGGTGAAGTACCCAAAAAATCAAGTGCTTGAGGGGCATTTAGGGAAATAACGAAATATAAAAAGGAAGTGGAGTGCAACTAGTAATTTTTGGAGTGCCAATATCAATTGCCATTAACTACGGAGTAGGAGTAATTCCCAAATCTGTCATTTTAATCACGTGTCATAATAAAAATTTGAGTCACATTTTATTTTAATAAAACTCTTTTAATGTAATACAACTTTTATTTTCAATTTTACATCACTATTTAACTAAATTAAGATTATTTCAATAAAACATTAGAAACCGAAAAATGAAGTAAAAAAATGAGATGGAGAGAGCAATACTTCGTAGTTTGCATTCACAATGTGGTATATATATAATAAGCTTCTTATTTCATATTAACTGTGTATTAATATTTTCTTAATAATTAAAATAAATAAATGTAGATATATAAAGTATATCTATATTCATTTTTAGATTATCAAGAAAGTATTAAGGGGTAATAAACAGTTAATATGAAATGATGAATTAAATGAGAATATTGAATTAAATATTTATTTCATTGAGGTGATTTAGCCATTTAAGATCTTAAGTACGTACCCTTTTGAGTTTTATCATCTTAAAAATGTTACTCCCTCCGTCCTAATTCTTTCTTTCCAGTTTAACTTTTCCCTATTTTTAATTTTTGGCTTTGACTTCAAATTTTACCCTCCTTAAAAAATATTTTTTGAATTTTTTTTGCAATCATTCAAAATATAGAGTTAGAAGATAATTTGTGTAAATACATGAGGGTATTAATATCATTTGTCATCCTTTTTTTCTAATGGGAAGATAGTTTTAAGACGGAGAAAAAGAGGAAGTGTGAAGAAAGTTTTAGGATAGAGGGAGTAATTATTTAAGAGTAACTTTTAATATTTTTATTTTTAAAGTCAGCCTACACTACAAAAAAGTTATTTAAAATGTTAATATATACTAACAACAATATGATCTTCGCATATTAAACCATGTGAAAAAATGGGAGGATTAATAAAATAGAGCGGTCCCTAAATAGTGCTATCAATGAGGCAAAAAAGTGAAGATTATCAGATCCATATTTAACGATATAGGATCATCAATCATGGTTAATTTGTTATGTTGACTTTATTAATTAAAATAAATATTTTGTTAAGTGAACTAGCCAGGGCAATGAGAAAATAAAATTGGCTCGGTCCAAAATTTACATTTTGTGCCCTATTTTATATTTTTAGAATACTTTTACTTTAAATTATTAACAAATTAAATTTAAAAATATAGTGCCCTAAATTTTAAAGGGTCATGTGCGGTTGGGCACTTTGCACATCATCCGGGCCACCCATGGAACTAGCAGCTAGCTAGCAAATGTACTACGTTACAAAAAAGCATACACAGTTATACATATTTGAACATGTTTTTTATATGATTGGATCTGATCTAAATTTAGTAATGTTTGAATTGATCTGGCCTGCTTAAACTGAACTTATTTGAATTATATCTAAATTTATTTCTGATCTGGTTTGATCTTATTTTATTTTAATAGGGAGTAAGAATAAATAACAAATAATAAGAATAAACTGGAAAAAACATGTTTTTACTCCGTATATTATTACTCTATATAATTTAGGGCATTTAGTTTTTTTAAATATTCACATATTATAAGTTTCCCACTTGCATCTAACCAATAATAAGCTTCTAATACCTTAACATTTGTTGAATACTCCCCGTCAGAAACTGAATTCCTCATTTCAGTTTACGAGATTTAACCGACTTTTAATTAAATCTATTTTATTTTAGGCATAAAAATTTAATAGTAAGAATTATATATTTAAAAAATATATAAAAAAATTTTAAAAATAAAAGGTAACAAGACTATTTTTTATATCAAAAAATGAGAAAACAAAGGACATAAAGTTTGAATATTTGAATAATTGGCTGAGTAAATACGGGCAAATAGCGTCGGTGCCCCTCGTGGTTTGCAAAATAGGTACCAATACCCCTTCTGTTTTCAAAACTTATTTCTAAAGTCCCTGTGGTTTCAAAATGATGCACCCATGCCCCCTCTGATCATTTTTCGGACATTTTTCCGGCGAAGAAGGGGGCATTGGTGCATATTTTCTAAACCATAAGGGGTATCAGTGCTGATTTTTATTTCTCGTTTATTTTTTATTTTTTCCATTTTTCCTTTTTTTGTTTCATTTATTAATTAGGGTATTTTAAAATTGTTTTTATAATATTATTAAAATTTAAAGTTATTTTTGTTTGAAAAAAATAAAGTATAATGCATATGTACGTTTGAAATTAACAATTTTTGTTTTTTATGAAAAAAAGAATTTTTTTTTGAGAACTTCGAAAAAATGAGGAATAAAATAAGAAAAAAATAATACAAAAATTAAAATGAATATCTTTTTTGGACATTTCAATTCTAAGGACTTTTTTAGGCGCATCCAATTTTTTTTTGTATAATACTTTTTTTGCGTATTTTAATTTTTTTCATTTCGTTTTTTCCGTATTTTTATTTTTTTATTCTGGGTTTTTTTGAACTTTCCAAAAAATTATTCTAAAAAACAAAAAGTGAAAATATTTAATTTGAGATAGATGTAATGTATGTTTATTTTTTTTTATTTTTATTTCAAACACAAAGAATTTAAAATTTTTAAAACGTTATAAAAATTGAAAATATATTTTTTTTAAAAATCTAGGAAAAGGAAAAAGAGATACAAAATATTTAAACAAAGGGAAAACACTAATAATAAACTAAAATAAGAAATGAACATGAATGCCCCATATGGTTTAGAAATTATGCGCCAATACCCCCTCTTCGCCAGAAAATGGCCAGAAAATGATCAGAGGGGGTGTGGGTGCAACGTTTTAAAACCACAGAGACTTTAGAAATAAGTTTTGAAAACAGAGGGGGTATTGGTGCCAATTTTCCAAACCACAGAGGCACCGGAAGAATTTGGCCGAGTAAATACAAATAATCTTACTAGTATACATTTCCGGAGGCAACTGATATATGCACTCCTGACTCCACATTTGGTTAATGGCACTCCACCTTTTGTCATCTTTTTCTATATAGACAATAACACCCTTTTAAATTAATGGGGAGTAATAGTGACCATTGCGTCATTAATTGAAGAATCCTAAATTTCTATTTTTTTAAAAAAATGGAAGAGCTCTACGGAGTAGATTCCTATATCAACACTAGTGGGGGCTCAAAGAATAACAATTAGAGTAATGCTAAAGTCACAAACAAACAATTCACAAAATTTATAAACTTAATTTTTTAACATTTCCCTAGAAATAAGATGGACTCTAAAAGATATTTTAATTTAAAATCCATAAAAGGCAAGTTTGTGAACTATTTGTTTGTGACTCTAGCATTTTCCTAACGATTAACAACCATTTGCATGCTTTTAGCTTGTTTTTTTTGTGAGAAAAGTTAACTTTTAACATTTTTTAATTTTATTAATTTGTACTAATTTCTTTTAATTTTTTTCAACTATTCTAGATATTTCCAACTCTATACATTTTTTTCAACGATTTAAAATATATTTACATATGATAAATATACAATAACATCATATATTTAAATTTATAACATACAAACTCAAACACGTGCAAAGACAAACTTTTTTATACAAAATTAATTTTTTTAAATATTTATTTGAGTGTTCATTTAATAAAATGATTTTTAATACTTGCTTTCCTAACACTTTCCAACTATTATTGAAGAATAATTCTTACTCTGATTCCTATGTCTCAATTTAAGTTGCTTGTTTTCTATTCACAATGTCAAAGTTTAATCACATTTGATGGTGTAAATTACCTAACCGGGTAAACTATACTAGACCGGGTCTAGAATCGTTTACTTGATTCGATAAAGTGAAAAGGTAAAAGCACGCAAAGTAACCAGGAGGACTGTAGGTGGAAACACATGTAGCCCAAATAATATTATCATAGAGAATGCACGGGTGCTTTTACAAGGGAGGTTAGAGAGAATGAATTCGGATCCCTACTTTTGAGGATTACATCAGTATTTATATTAGGTTAAGGGGGACACGACGTTGTGCCCCGATGTTGAGGCACGTTCTCGGATGGTGGGAGGTGATGGGCTTCGTCCTTTAGCTGCCTTGTCGTCTTGCGAGGAAGATTACTTCCCTTGTCAGGTAGCGCCTTGGATGGAATGTTCGAACATCTCCAGCGATTCTCCACTGATCTTGGTCGCTAAGGTCCAAACCACTTTGTATTCTTCTCTGTCGACATTCTCCAACCTCAGAAACTGTACTGGGTAGTACCTGAGGGATGGATTAGCTGAGATTGAGGGATGAATTAGACGATGAAATAGCTTGACCGGTATACTATCCGAAGTATACACTACAAAATTTTGCTCATTTTGCGACGGACAATTTCTGTCGCAAATACTTTGTTTTCGTCGCAAAATGAGAATTAGCGACAGGTCTGCGACGGAAAAAATATGTCGCAAAAAAAATTGTCGCATTTTCGATATTTGCGACGGAATTCGGAAGCCGTCGCAGTTCTGCGACGGTATGCGCGACAGGAAAATCAATTCCTTAGTCTGCGAGGGAAAGGGTAATCCGTCGCAATCTGCGACGGAAACTGCGACAACCATTTACGCGTCTTTAATTTGTACCGTGCGACGGATATAGCGACGGATTAAATCCGTCGCAAATGCACCAGATCTGCCTACCCAATTCTGCACCAGATTTCAGCAGTTTGCAACAATACAACATATAAACAACAGCACCGTATGAAACACAAATTTTTTTGAAATTCCTTGTCAATCACAACACAATATTAATTAAAACACAAATCAATTAAATTCATTTTTAAGAACAAGACAATGTTCAATAAAACACATGATTGTCATAAGCTATTCATGCGACACAACCATTTCCTGAGCCTCTCATCCCATCATCAGGGTCTCGAGGTGTCGGAAGATTTCCACCACACATCATTCGAATTTGTTTAGCAACTGTCAACTCAATCTTATCTAACCTTGCCTTCATGACTTCGTTCTCCGCTCTCAACCGCTCAATCTCCGAAATATCACTAGTGCTCTTTCTTCTACTTTGATATATAGGTTTAAGGGGTTTCATTTCTTCGGAAAGATCTCCGACTCCCTTAACCCTATTCTTTTGATCAAAGCCACCAACTAACTCAAACCAAATCTCTTGATCCGTGATTTGAAGGCATGATTCCTCAGCCATTTGTTTCAATTGTACAAAATCAGCCTGGATAATAAAATAAATAATCAATTTATAATAAACACATAGAGTATATGTAATTATCGCATTGTGGCATTGTATTTAAATTTAATTAATAAGAAGTGTGCATAATTCACATTTACCTCAAGTTGTGCATTTTCTGGATCTATCCATGTTTTCCCATCATATTTCTTCGTCTTGGTGTGCTTGAAAGCATCCACCACTGTTACTGGAGCTTCAGACTTTTGAGCCTACAATATAAAAAACATTGTAAGATCATAAAAAAAATGTTTACATATTTTTAATTAACATATAAATTTTGAAGTGAAAAATTATTAATATGCATTCATTCATTCATCCATTCATTACTTACCAATCGGGCAAGGTGTTCAGAGAAAGGAATTGATCCTCCAGTATATGTCCCCATAGCTACGCCTTCATTCCTTCCCTTTCTTCTATTCTTTTTCTTCACAAAAGATTCTTGCTTAAATTCTTTGGATTTCCAAAACTATACATCGTATAAGATGAGGATTATTAGAAAAATTAAAAAAAATGCACTTTTGTATCGGTTAAATCATCATTTCTTTAGCACTTCAACAAATTTGTAATTGTCATGCACTTTTGTAGCAAAAAATCAACACTGTTTAATATAAAAGAATCACAAATTCAACAATGCAAAAAAGTACCGCTTACGATAACCAAGATTTTAAGATAAGTTAAAAGAAGTTTTTAATAGCAAAAACTAAAAAAAAATCCTAGCATCATATCAAATAAAATTTTTTCTAGAAACATATAAAATAAAATATTAGAATCAAATCAAAATTTCTTATGATAAGCATATATAATTAACAAAAAAATAGGATATAAAAACACATGATAAATTTCATAGAATAAATTTAATCCTCCTTAACTATCAAATTTAACAAAAAACATTTTGAAAAAATCATACAAACTATAAACACAATAATATTTTAATAATCTTCACTCAATCAAATCATCATTATCATGCAATCTCGAAAAAAAATGATCTAAGTAAATCTCACACTTCAAATCTTGAGGGGAAAGAATTAGGGTTTAACCTTGGGTTTGGGCCGGCGGAAAGAAAACGGCGGTGGGGCGGAGAGTGGGTCGGACGGCGTCTGGCGTGTGGCGGCGAAGGAGTGGAGGTCGGCGGTGGATGACGAGGACTGGAGGCGAGGGACGAACGACGATTGGCTTCGGTTCTTCGCGTCTGGTTCTACTTCGATGTGAAACAAACTAATCGAAGATAAGGTTTTAATTTTAATTACTGCAACGGAACTTAGTCCGTCGCAGATTCCGTCGCAATGAGGCTTTTAAAAAATTTGACGGTCAAATCTTTGCGACAGAAACCTTCAACCGTCGCAGATCTGCGACAGAAAATTAGATTCCGTCGCAGATGTTGTCAATTCTGAAATTCCTTTTTTTTTGTCGCAAAGTCTGTCGCAATTTGCGACGGAATGAATCTGTTGCAGATTTTCCGTCGCAAAATTAACTAAATCTTGTAGTGATACCGGTCAACTTTTCGGTCATCCAGGCTCTCTCACGATTGAGATCTCTCTTTCAATAATAAACAACTTGACCGGTCCAACATTTGGATATGTCCTTCGACCGGTTCTGGGTGGATTATAGGGGTGTGCACAATTCGGTAAACCGACCGAACCGTACCGAAACCGAAAATTCGGTACGTACCGAAACCAAACCGAATAATTTGGTTCGGTATTCGGTTTTTCTTTTTTCTAAAATTCGGTTTTCGGTTCGGTTCGATTTGGTAATTCGGTAATTTGGTTTTTACCGAATACCAAATTATTACTTCATTTTATTATTTTAAATATTTTGAAGTTTGAATTCTATCCTTGAGTCCTAGCAACTTATATAGTGGTCTACCTTATTTTATCCTTCCTTTTATTGACAATTTTAATTTTTAAAAAATACTTCATATCTAGCTAAATTTACTCATGCTTACTATTTGACTCTTTCTTCTTTAATTTTTTTTTCATTTATTCTAAATGGTCAATACATTGACCTCACTTCGTAGGACAATAAATTACCGGTGGCTAAAGGTAAGATCTTTTAAACATTTTGATAGAATACTTGTTATATTTTGAATTTTTTATTTCTTTTTTTATATTTCATTTTTTTACAAGATCAAAATCATGTGTTTCGATAATCTTTTAATAATATGAAAAACTAAGTAATTTATGATTAACTATAACTAAAAATATAAAGTATTTGTAATTTCTTTAAATGTTGAACGAGATTGCTTGCGGTACAAATTGAAAATAAAAAAAGTGAAGTATAGATGAAAATAAAATGAAATTTTCAGTTTTTTCGATATTACCGAATACCAAACCGATTTAATACGGTTCGGTATTCGGTACAAATATAATATTACCGAAATTTCGGTTCGGTTCGGTTCGGTTTTACCGAATGAACACCCCTAGATTATACCCATCAACATTCTTTACTCATTTTCGCTACTCAGTTGGTAAAATAAATTGTCTTGCCTGTTTTGTAAAATTCTTGATTTAGTTTTAAAATATACTCCGTATAAATTTACTCCGTATTCTTTAATTCTACACCAATTTTTAAATAAAATGATCATAAAATATTTTTAGTATAACATCATAAATAAAATGCGATTTAAATTGAGGCGTAGGAAGTAGGGAGTATGAGAAAACAATTATGAAAAATGAATACTCATTTGCCCGCTAAAAATACAAGAACATAAACCATTTGCAAAATTAAGTTAGGCACTTCGGCTGGGCACACAGTAGTATTGTACCAACTTGAAAGGCTATTGTTGTCATTTTCAGAAAATATAGACACCAATGGAGCGCCATTAGCAATTTGTGGAGTGCATATATCAGAACATATATTTTTCCCATTACGGGTCGGCCCCACACATAACAATTTGCCAACTTGGATTATTGAAAATTGAAATAGGGAGTACTAATTGATGGATACAATTGGATCTAGACTACGGGCTTCCATATTACGGGCTTCGAGAGAGATCAAGTGGCCCAAACTGGCCTGACCCAAATCATCCTGCACAGGTTCGTCTACCACTTGACCAAACTTTCAATTTTTTCTCTTTTTAGTTTTTTGATTTTTCTACTTTGTGTTCATTTTCGTTTTTTCTAATTTTTTTATGCCAACGAAAATAGTACAATTTTTTGTTTTTAAATTTCGTGTCACTAGCTCATATTCCAACAATTTCTTCTACTCAACGATTAAACTTTGAGTCCCAGTTTTCTAAATTACTTGTTAATCTATTAATTATTTGTTTGTGTATAATATACCAAAACATTCGTCTGAGAAATAAACATCCAATTATTTCATTTATTAATGTTAAAATCTTTAATGGGCCTCTTTATTAATTCGACCCAAAAATGACCATTTTGTCCGTTTAAATGTATTTTTTAACCAAATTTACAACTAATGATAGATCCAATTATATCTTGAGATATGGAGTGAATGTGTTTAGGTAGTGTTTGGCAACTAAGATTTCATTTCAATTCATGTATTTCAATTCCAAAATTTGAAATCTTGAATTTCAAATGACAAGGGGAGGTGCTTGGATTTAAAATTAAGCTTTGTTATGAATGAGAAGAATTTGATTCAAATCCAAATTCAAAATTTGTAAGTTTCCAAACATGGAATTTGAGCCAAATCCGGATTTGAAATCCAAATCCATGTTCCCAAACATACCATTAAATTATTGTTAGCTTTATGCCTTTATCTAAATATGCTAGTGGTATTGATCTTTATTTTTCGACGTGGAAACTCTAAGACTCCCCCTCAAGTGGTAACTAGCCTTGTCTAGTTATCACTTGAACAAAGAGGTCTAACATTTTAATCCTTACAACTAGCACACAGCCTTCTCATTCTCTTATAGCCAACTCAATCAGGAAGAATCGAACCCAGACCGGACCTGCTCCGATACCACCAGAATTTTAACATGGTATCAGAGTAGGTTTGGTCCGATTCGACTGTTCCAGGTTGTTTGGACGTGGGTTTAGCAAAATTAGCTACTTGTTTGTGGTTTAGGTTGAGTTGGCTAAAAGAGATTGAGATGTCACCGCTCGTTGTATGAGCTAGCTATAAGAAATTGAGATGTTAGACCCGTTTGTCCAAGTGTTAACTAGGTCAGGCTAATTAACACTTAATGGGATCATGGAGTATTGGAGTTTCCACATCAGAAAATAAAGATAAATACTATTAGCATATATAGAAGGGTGAAATCATATCTATCGGCTCAAGCTTTTGGATTAGTATAACAGATGACTTTATATGTAAGTGTTTAATTTTACCCGACAACTCACCCGTTATTCTCGGTCCATCAGAATTTAAACAAAAACATCACACCACAATAGAAATAATATTAGTTTAATTTGCAAGTTAGAATAAAATAAAAAACGAAAAGATTATTTATGAAATTTACTCAAATACACACAACATATAATAATTAATTAAAACCAGCAGCCATGTTATTGAGGTCTCACGTCTGCCTAATACATGTCACACTTTAAGTATTAATTAATTAATTAATGAAGGCTTTCAACGAACAATTATTTGTTCATTCAAGCATAAATATATGCTTCTCAAATCCTCATTTACTTGAAGATGATGATTTGTTGCCACCTGTGCCCTGCGAAGCGCAAATAGAAAATAATAAGTAATATTCCTAGTGACACAAATTAGGAAAAATTATCGTAAATAATTTGAAATTTGAAGTATTTTACTATAACAAAATTTGAAAATCGTTATATTTTGTTAGGAGTAGAAACGATTAAATATACAAACGGAACAGTGTCCAGTGTCATCGGGTGACACCGAACCCCGTCCAGTGTCACGGGAACTGTTCCAAAGACAATAATAAGCAAATGTACTTTCTTTCATATACCTTCCTCCTAGGCTCCCGAGCCTTCTTGGGGGGCGGCGCCGGTTTGGTGGTGGAGGCTTTGGGTGGCGGAGCTTTGGTGGCAGCAGCCTCCTTCTTGGCGGCGGAAGGTGCAGCTAGGTTTGATTTCTCAACTTTTATGGATGCCATTTTTTGGTTTAATATATCTATCTGATTAATACTAATTAATCAACTCTTTCTTAGCTTCTCCTCCTTAACCAAATAATTAAGAAAGAAAACAAATGCTGATTCTCTTTAATTCAGCTACTCTTTGAAAACCTATATTTATAATAATTGTGTGGCAAGTGGAAATAAAAATGGAAGACACACTGAATAGAACCATGGCTAGCTTTCAAAACCCACAGCATCTGATCCCATGCCATTTACTTTAATTTTCAGCCATTATTTGAGCATCTAATATATGCCCAATGCAAGATTTTTTTTACACCTATCTTCTTTCCTCTAAAATGTACACTTCTTATATATCATAGAATATTAGAAATCACCCCAAATAAGACTAAAAGTCGAAAGCATATAGAAAAATATCAAAATAAGACTTTCATGTTTTTTCCTGAAATAGGACTTCGCACTGTGGTAATGTGTCACTGTACACGTGTACATTGCATATACTTTTTGGTAATGTACATGACCATGTTTCGTAATGTAAATGTATTTTAAGTCCTATTTCGAAAATAAAAACATGGAAGTCTTATTTTGATATATTTTCAATATTTTAGTCCTACTTTAGTCTTTCTCCCTTAGAAT